CCTTTGTTCAATGTTATTTAAAAAAAAAAAAGAAAAAGAAAAAACCCACAAAACAGAAACCAAATTTTGGGCTTAAAAGAAACCTAATTCTGTCACAGGAGCCTGGTTGGAAGATACATTATTCTTATGGATGAAAAACACAGTGCTAGAGAGTCAAGAAGGAATGGTAATTTGAGAGACCTATTTCCCAAAGTGATCTGGAGGAGGTGTCACAGTGCTAGATATAGGGTGATGGGACAGTGATCACTCCCCAGGGCCTTGGAACGAATCTTGCTGTCACACAATGCTGGTAACAGAGAGCGGGACAACAAAAAGTAGTCAAGATGCCAACCAACATTCTTAGCTCAAGCATTCATCATGTAAGTCCAAAAGGTGTAGGCATAGGCTGTGTTGGGGTAGAGATGCCGAAAGCTGTCAGCCAGTGGCACAGCTTGCAGCAATTCCCCAAAGCCTTGACGCTCTTAGGGGGTGAAGCCAGCATTTTTTTTTGTTTCCCTTGGGGTTGCGAAGGTCAATTTCTTCATGAGCCACATTGAGATCTCCACACAGCACAAGGGGCTTTTGGGAAGTCAAGCCCTTCAAGAACTTGCGGAAGGCTTCATCCCAGCGCTGCCTATACTCCAGTCACACCAGCCCATGGCTTGCATTAGGTACATAGGCTGTTACCAGCACAAACTTGTCAAACTCAGTCACAATCACTCATCCTTCCTGATCTTGTTCTTCCTCACCAATGCCATAAGAAACCTTGAGTGGGCACTGGCGGGAAAGTAAGCCCACACCACTGTACCTTTCCTTGTCTGAAGGAGCTGACCAGTACTGATGGGATAGTCCAGGCAGCTCTTGAAGTTTAGTGGGTAGTTTGTTCTCGGAACGTTTGGTCTCTTGGAGGCACAGGATATCTGGGGCTTCTTCCTTTACCCAATCTAATCCTTTCTTCTTAATCCAGGCCCGAAGCCCATCCACATTCCAAGAACAAATCTTGAGTGTGGCAGATTTGCCACTGGGTGAGGTTTTCTTATCTGGGGGGTCCTCATATAGGACAGGGCCCTCTCCTGCTGCTTCTTTTTCGTTTTTCTTTGCTCCCGTCTTACTCTTCTTAGGCTCTGGCTCTGTCATGGGCCATCTTCTGCCACCGCTCCCTTTTTCCCACGTTTCGGCATCCCTGCCCTTGAACACTTATACCACGTTGCCCACCGAAGCAGTATTTTATCACGTCGCCTTAAGTAGGAGTCTCGACTTAGGCTTGCCGGTCAACCAGCCAGCGAAGCCCCTGCAGAACAGCAAAATTGTACTTGCCCTATTCGGATCCCAGCCCGGCTCCCATTGTCAGGGTTCTTTTTGTTTTGTTTTGTTTTGTTTTCTCACCCTGTCTGTCACCTGGGTAGTTGAAAACCTAAAAACAGCTTAAAAGACTACTTTGATGACTTCCATTTGTCATAGAAGATGTTGAGAAGTACATGAAAGACTGTTTTTTAATTCAATAGATTTAGTAGATACAATTGTTTGTTGTTTTTTTTTTGGTGCACAGATGAATTATATAGTAGTGAAGTCAGGGCTTTTAGTGCGCCAGTCACCAAAATAGTGTATATTGTATCTAGTAGGTAATTTTTGATCCCTCATCCACCTGCCACTCTCCTTTTCTGAGTCTTCAGAGTCTACTGTCCCACTCTGTCTGACCTTGTATACTCATGGGTTAGTGCCCACTTATAAGTGAGTACTTGTGGTACTCATTTTTCCATTCCTGAAATACTTCACTAAGGATAATTGCTTCCAGTTCCATATGAGTTACTATATGAGAGATATAATTTCATTCTTCTGTGTGGCTAAGTAGTATTCCTCTGTGTGTGTGTATACACACCACATTATCGATTCATGAGTTGATGGACACTTAGGTTGATTACATATGAATTGTGATGCAATAAACATATCAGTACATTGTTTCTTTTTAATATAATGACATTTTTCCCTTGGGAAGATACCCAGTTAGTGGGATTGCTGGATTGAATGGTAGGTGTCCTTTTAGTTCTTTAGGGAATCTCCATACTATTTTCCATTAAGGTTGTACTGATTGCTAACATCTATTATTTTAATGGCCATTCTGACTGGCAAGGTGGTATCTCATTGTGGTTTTAATTTCCCTGATTATTAGTGATGCTGAGCATTTTTTTCATGTTTGCTGGATATTTATATATCTTCTTTTGAAAAATATTCATGTCTTTTGCCCACTTTTTAATGGGGTTGTTTTTTTTCTTGCTGATTTGTTTGAGTTCCTTGTAGATTCTGGATATCAGTCCTTTGTCAGACATATAGTTTGTGAATATTTTTTCCCGTTCTGCAGGTTGTCTGATTGTTGATTATATCTATTGTGTAGAAAATTTTTATCTTAATTTAGTCTCATTTATTTATTTTTGTTTTTGTTGTATTTGCCTTTCGATTGTTAGTCATACATTTTTTGCCTAGACCAATGTCCAGGAAAAATTTTTTAAGTTTTCTTTTCTGTGGTGTCAGATATCAATCCATCTTGAGTTAATTTTTATGTATAGTGAGAGACAGAAATCCAGTTTCTTTATTCTGCATGTGATCCTCCAATTTTCCCAGCACTAGTTATTAAATAGGGCATTCTTTTCCCCAGTCTATGTTTTTGTCTGCTTTGTCAAAAATCACTTGATTGTAGGTGTATGGTTTTATTTGTAGGTTCTCTTTTTGGTTCTCTTGATCTATGTGCATGCTTTTATATTAGTACCATGCTGTTTTGATTACTATAGTCTTTTAGTATAATTTGAAGTCTGATAATGTGATGCCTCTTGATTTGGTTTTTTGTTTTGTTTTTGTTGTTGTTTTGGTTTTAAATTTTCCTTAGCTATTCAGGCTCTTTATTGATTCCATATGAAATTAAAATTGTTTTTTCTAATTCTATTTATTGTTCACTCTATATAAGTTGTCAGAAGTACCACTGACTTCAGCAAAAACACAATTGGGGCAAAGGCAAGGGGGAACAGTTGTTTCTTACATGGCTACACTTTATGAGAATGAGCAATAAGGATGAGGCAAACCATTTCTGCATTTTTTTGTATCATTAATAGCTTCTCCAAGATCATTAGGCGCTGGGAGGCCTTTAAGGAGGAACACACCGTTCCACTGGCCTGTTTTCTCAGTCAGTGTTTCCTTCCAGGCCATGAGCTCAGGAGACTGCGTAGACACATGCCAGTAGGCCCTTCTGGACCACAAGTATTATGCTGAATATCACAAATTTTAGATAATGCTTCAGAGGAACTGTTCTCTGAAATACATTTAGGTCCATTTCATCTCCATCCTGCTCCAACTATTTTTCTACCTTGTACAGGTTTATGTGGAAAAGTGAAAAGCCACTCTACTACTCATTCATTGACAAACCTGTAGTATATAAAAGAAGAGGTGAGTTGAATTTTCTCTTGTTAATACCAAGTAATAACACAATTGTAGAAAAGCTAAATATCTGGACTTGAAAAGTGTCAGTATGACTTGGCGCCTGTAGCTCAGCAGCTAGGGCACCGGCCGTATACACCGGAGCTGGAGGGTTCAAATCCAGCCTGGGCCTGCCAAATAACAATGACAACTTCGACCAAAAATTGCCGGGCATTGTAGTGGGCACCTGTAGTCCCAGGTACTTGGGAGGCTGAGGCAAGAGAATCACTTAAGC